TCCTGACAGTCGTATAATCACCACAACAATAGCATGTGCTTGTTTGGTGTCATAAAAACTTATTTCAATACTTCAAAGTCCTCTCACGCTTTGTTGAATCTCGGGTAATCGGGTTCATGTAAACAGCCCCTTACTAGCGTAGCCAATCACCCCTACGCCAGTTAAATGCTTTGTTGGCTTTCTATTGTTACCAAAGTATCATGTAAACTCACTTTCATCCATTACAGTTTTGCTTTCAAAAATCCGCAACAAAATCCCGAGGCTTCTTTTCTAATCTTTCTTTGCCAATGATGCAAGAGGGAGGGGAATTTTTAGGATAAAGATGATGAATGTTTCGTGTACTTTTACAGCTGTACACAACGGCCCCTAAAGGTCCTAACCCGTCTCATAGTATCCCACCACCCAAGATATATACCGGCTTGGCGAACGAGATCCCACCGGTGTAGTTTTTGGAGAATTGGAGATGAGAAAGGCTTGTGTACGATTAACTGTTGACACATAAACGCATGTGCGTTGGTATAAATATAAATCTTATGTAAAATCAGGAAATTATAAAACAATGGAATAGGGAAATAAACGTTCCAATACGCCGTGTCATAAAACAGCCTTTTATTGAGGCGTAGCATATTTGCTTAAAGTTATGGCTTTGTAAATCCATTTTTAAACCTATTCAGTTATTGAGGGTAGTCTAATCGTATGACTAATTCATTCATTTAAATGTTTAATGTTTCGCTAGCTCTGCAATTGGAAATCCAACTTTAGGCTGTTGGAAAACAATAGATCGAAGCTCTTTTATATTCCATGGGAACAAAAGTCTATTGTGCTTTGAGCCCAGAGCGGATTACTCGCGGAGAAATCCAAAGCTGTTATTTGCATACATGCTGTACGGTGTTCAGTGTTATACTGTATAGCGTTGTCAAATTGGAAGAGATTTTGCGGTGTCAGAAATAGTTAAAGAAGGCAGAATTCTCAAATTGTTGCAGAGATTCTAAACGAATCGCAGCAAGGAACTATGATTTGGGTATCTCCTTAAACACCGAATACATAAACTTGGCGTGTATAATCCCTAAATTTCTGGGTGTCATTTATACAACTACAGCTTTGTATGTTCACCGGACTGTGTGTTGAAACAGGAATCGGACGGGTTTTATGGCTGAGTCGTCGATGATCAAGGCTTGTCTTGTTGGAAAAAGTAAGTTCATTAGCTTAATATTTTCGTTCGCAATGGCTTTTCTAAGTCAGACTTGACATGCAAAACTCTGTAAGAAACTCGCAATTCGATCGCTTCGCAAAGCTTTCTGCCTCGTGGTCGTGTAGTCGTTTAGAACAATAACATCATGAGACCTTTATCTTGAATCTGATAATTTACGTTAAGTGAATGGTGCCATCACCTTTAGACTTCTTATTTCGAGAAATTGGTAAACAATCTCTCGATAAAGAAGATCAACAACAAAGTACATGCTTGCCTTGTTCTAAGGTTATCGTTTGTTGCCAAAAATCGCGGACAGTTCACGTCTTTTTCTCGCTAGCTATAGCCTAAACAAAGACAAAGACAAATACAGCGTTCTTCGACTATGCAATAAATGCATCGAAAGCACGAAAACCATGCATGTTTCTGATTTATATGAATTATATTAATACTTTATTTTCTTTTATTTATTTCTATATCAGCCCAACTACGCCAATAAATACCCCACAATACATGCAAAGTAGAAGTGCATGTTTCTTGTAAATACCATCAGAAAGGCCATCAGAAAGGGAGGTTTTCACCATCTTTTCCGCTATATTCTTTCTGTAAAGGAGGGGTGTCGGGCGGAGCTGTGTCTTTAGGAGGGGTGCTGGTATAAACCTTAAATACAAAACGATCCAGGTTGTTATAGATTAGGTCAGTTCAAACTGCAAACTTTGAGATAGCAATTATTGAATGAGGTTGAAGATATAATATATGAAGAGTCAGGAAGTGTCTTAAATTTCGGCGATGAATTTTGCAAGCGACAGCTATACCTCAAACACGTATATTTATGCCTGTATAAATAATATGCATCAAATGATTATCTATACTATCATTATATACACATCAATAAAGGCAATCAAGGAAACTCGTTCGTTAAACAGTTTGCATGCAAAAGTCAGTCAAGGAGGACTATTTTTTATGAGCTATTTTCTGATGTGATTAATTCAGCGGCGAAGATGTTAAAATTTAGGAGGATGCTCGCTTTTAGCGGGACTGAAAGCCATTATGAACGCGAATCCATAAATGATCATTACGAGATTCTCCCGACTTGGAATTGCAAGCGGTCTGGGATGCATTTAACTTTGTTTTTCTTTTGTCTCGGCTAAAATTAAGCAACGACATTCCTTCATGGACCCACGGGGTGAAACGTTTTACTGTTAAATAACGCAAGGACATCAAACTCAACATGGAACATAGATGAATGGTTTTTTATTTCTATTATATATGAAATGCATGGGTGATGTATAAAACACAAGATTTTGAAAGAATATATACATAAAATATATATACCAGATGCACCAACTAATACATAGAATCATTTTTATGATAGATTCCGCTCTATCTGAATGAAATGATATATTAAGAATTCTGATTGAATATAATTTTTTTCTAACACAAACACTGATTCGCATGTTCATTGCCAGAAAATGAAAGCGATGCATGCTGCATAGATCCGTGATTTTGATTTAATTGAACAACTTTTAGTTCGTGCGGAGATGCGACAGCCGTCCTCGGCTTTTTACGTGTCACAAAGTTAAAAAACCATGGTTACTTCCGAAGCCTGGGCTGGCTAGGCATGCTTGGTATTTCTTTAACTGAGTATTCTAGCCGTAAACAATACTCATGTCATGTAAATTAGGCGTGTATATTCAGAAATATGGCTTTGTAGACTTAAATTCGGCTTTGTAGGCATAATATGGCATTCCTGAACGAATATATATAATAACTATATTTTAAGTAGCATAAAGAAGAAAATTACAAATGCATAAGCTCTACGTTATAGTATATCGAACGCACTTGACACACAGCTGATAAAATCGATGTATCTTGATTATATTAATACTATTCAGTAGAAAGCTATAGCTCAGTGCAGTAATCGTTTTCAATCGTTTTACTTCTATTCCTATAGTGACTGCATGTACACGCATATGAATGCAACCTTTGCGCATAAGATATATCACCCTATATCTTTGTTTCTTTTATATTCTTTCACACACCGCATAATAAAATCTTTCAGGGAGCCATGTTCATTGATATTGACTGTATAAAGTAGATTAATCTCGGTGTCAAATGCGTTTCTATGGTAATATGATTTAGTTGAACATGCCGACATTGAGTTATACCTTGCTAATCAATTTCTTACACCGGGAATATAGATTGTGGTTATAGTCTATAAGTTAGCAAAAGGTTCAAGGCGATAAAATTGAATTTCAATACAAATCTTGAGGATAAGATTAAGTTAAGAAAAGATTAACCACAGATTACTGTAAAGCAGTAAAGATTAGTGGTGAGATGTTGCAAAATAATACAAATGCTCTGCAAATCTTGCATGTGAATATTTAATTTATACGCGCGTTTAATAAAATAGCTATCTTTCCAGTAATCCAGTCGACGCTTTGCAACCAAACTGGCGTTTTCTCGCTTTAGTTAGCGTTGGATTTCATTCGTCCCGCGTCAAAATATGCCATCAACTTCGCAATCAAAATGCGTGCATGATATATAGAAGTAAATTTGGTAACCTCACCAACCTGTACAATTAATGGTAGTTTGTAGATGTACATGGTTGTACATTTTAGGTACACATCGCCTCAGACAACATATATTTATTTTACCGTTTTTATAAGCGCTTGAATAGAACCGTAATATTAAGATATGCTACTTTAGGTTTTATTTGACGTGGAATTGGAAAGGATTACTTAGAGAAGAGTATATAGAGTAAGGCCTGAATTTTTTTCGCACTGTTTACCCACAGCAAAATTTTTACTTAAACAACAACGTTTGTTTTCCATTAGTGTTGTCCTGTCTCCCAGTGAGCTGCTGCTAAAGACTTGAATACGTGTTCACAAGACTTCGGGCTGTTTTGCGCTGTTGGATAAACACGAACCGTATGAGGTGTGCATAACTGACAGTGATTTCTGCATTCCCAGATGCTGCGTGTTTCGCAAACCTTTGCATATATTCGGAAGGGGAACTCTTAAAGGAGTGCCAAATCGGAAAAACAGTTTGATCCGTCAACTATATATTTAATTCAACTTATGTCTGCCGGAACACGTTAAAAATAGCAATACTTTAGATTACTAAACACTCCAATATTATCGCAAACAGATACAAACAGCTTTAATTACTCTTACCCTTAGCAATATATTTAGTTTTGTGTGCATATTTTTTCTTTTAAAAGCGTTAAATCGTCACCTTTAAATATACGAAATGACTGTGGTGTATATATTTACAATCACATGAATTGCAAATCTAACTATTATATAGCTATTCTCATGCAGTCATGATTTTCTATATCCAACTGTATACTCGGCCTTGCTAGCAATGTTTTGCTGTCTACGAGACTTTAACTGGCGCGATGGACTCGTATAGTTGTCGCTTATCTGTATGACTTAGGCATTTTGAGAAAACTTCGTAGTTTCTCACTACAAGATTAAAAAGCGATATGAGTTAGTATTTCCTTTTCTTTTTCAGAAAAAACATTTGAGAGAACTGTTTGCCAAGTCCATCGCTTTGATTATGGATAGGTATTGTTGAATACGGGTGGAATCAATTACTGGTATATATTTCTGAATATGGTCGCCGAGATTTTGCGCCAAGATCTCGGCCAAGATGACGAATCTCGTCGCGTCCTAAGATGCGCGTTTTAGGGGATTGGTCTCGAATCGAATGTATAAATAGTTTTTGATGAATGAGCGTCATTTCGCAAACCAATCGAGGCGTGACATTAGAGTCTACATCCGGAAACTTCACTTGTAGGACACTTGAGGTGTCGAATGAAAAGCGCCATTATATCTCTAAGTCTTTGTGGTAAGCAGAACAGTCATCGCGAATCCATCAATTCAACAGCTAACGTACGCATCACAGCATAATCTTCTCAGTACCTACAGCCGAATATGTTTTATTTTCTCCTATTTCTGATGTGGGCGGACGGAATTCTATGCAATCGAGGTACGTAGTTTTAACGTGTTTTAAGCTATATCGCTCTTTCACTAAGCGGGTTGTTCTTCTGCCAAATTCTGCAATGTTTACATCGAGTTTCGATTCTTTTATCCTCCGCTGTCAACATTGTTTATAAAACTAGAACGGCTGTAACTCTTTCGAGACGATAGGCCGAGTTTACTGTTTGAAAAAGATACATTCAAACGGTAACAAGCGCGAATGACTGCGTGTGTTTTTCCAAGCTTTGTTATTTAAGACAACAAACTTTGTGTACAAAACCTTTGGAAACTAATGTGTTTATATAATGGCACATTGTTCGAGGTCTTATGAAATGCAGCGCGCATTTCTAACTTCGCGTAAGACGGACAAATTGCGAAAAAGCTTGGCGTAACTGCTGTGTCCTCGCATGGAATATCCATCTAAACTTCGGCACCTGTGAACCCACCGAAATGCAGCGATAATCTTGTTTTGTGCCTGGTCAAGGCAATCTCAAGCACAACGTGAGCTGAGATACATTAACAAGCTTACGCGTTTGTGATAAATTGGTAATGGGGACCCCTATTGAGGCACCTGCCGGCTCAGTGCATATTTTTGTACTATTTTGCTTCGGGGTTTAATGAGCCCGCGCGTATATGCATGCATCACTATATTTTTATCTTATAAAACTGAATTTTTACTCGGACAGGAATGTCGTGTAATATTGCGAGGTAATAAATAGCATATCTACTTTTGAAATGCGACTGGATGGATACATTAACGCTATCTGCTCGCTCGTAATCACAACGAAAACATGTAAAAAATTTCAATAACGAAACATCTCACTGCAAGTGGAAGTCCGTCTTCCGTTCCCGATGGGAAAATTGAAAAGCCAAAATCGACGCGCAAATATTTTGTGTTTATGTTTTACCGATTCAGTATTGTCGGCGTATGTTATTGATTTCCGATGTAGCCTCGAGATTTATCGGAAGCCTTGCACGAACGTAAATATTAATTGTGTAATATATTTTTAAGTCAATATATGAAATTTTCAAATGCATATGTAAGAAGTAAGTATTGGTAAAAGAGGAATCTTTGTTCAAGAAAGTTCGTCAGTGCACAAAGATAGAAACTTACTCTCTTCCTGGGACTGTCAGCGCCAAAAACTTCGCTTCAATTAGCTTGGATTTTAACCAACGTAGATAATACATAATCCATTTGGATTTACCCTTTTGTCTGATTTTTTTTTTCACGCGAAATATAAGCTTAACTTAGCCAAGTTGCCAAATTAGCTCGGCATTTCTTAAGCCGTCTCCATACATGGGAACCGAAAATTTCGAGTTTTTGTTCGTGAATTAAGCCCTATCGACCCCGCAAAAACCTTTGCGAAAGCGATCCTGAAGAGTATCAGTCTTTGAAAACTGTATTATGTCAATTAAGGTTTTTAGAAACGTATGTAGCTACATATTTGACGTCAAATAAATCCGTTTAAAAAGTATTATTGCCATTTTGCAATGCTAATGTGCATTCTTTGGATGTTAAACTACATCGGAACAAAGTGATTTTTAAACGATTTTTGGCTTGGCATAAACATTCCGTGTGCAGGTGTGAGAAAGTTGCATTTTATTGCGACGATATTTCAAAACTGCGATAAATGTTTAACCATGCAAAGATATCTCGAATATTTTCATTCAAAGAGCTCTTTGCAGTGAAAAAATCGTCAAGTATTTACCCCTAATCTTTATATCTATAATTAACGTGGAAACTCTAAGTAGATCGTGACTGTCGTGATTCGAAAATCCAATTAATATAATGGCATATCATTTTTGATATTAGTATATTAGTTTGTTAGATCATTTCAAAGAACAAGTTAAATATAGAAAGTGACAATCTTTAAGCGACTGATTGTCAGCGATTTCAAGGAACACAATTTAGGCAAAAACACTGACTCGAAGGCAAACGTATTGTCTATTTACTGACTTGGCTCCTGTGTTAAGAAATGGCTCAATATCGTAAACTGCCCTCGAAATTCCATTTTTTGTTTATCGCCGTATCGAACTGCTTGAAGAGGATAATTGCCTACAACTATGGCTTATTTCGTTGTTTGTTTTTGCATGTTTTCTCGCGAATTATCAAATTCCTCACTTAGTACATTAAAAAAAGTGATTAGAAAATAGGTTTAATGCAGCCAGTCGCTATATATACACGCTGCAGATATCTTTTGGCCATGGGAATAACTTTGTTCATGTGACTAGGTGAGAGAGAGGGTGGGGACGTGTGTGACTGGTATCAAAACGACAGTGGTCGGGTTACTCGGGTATTTCAATTCAATTGACCGCCTGAAATACGAACTTTCTCGTAAAAATATAAAATTCTAGGCGCACCATGCATGCCATTTATGGTCGGATATGTGGAGAAACTATTTAACCGGATTTATCGTTTTTCATGATTGTAATGGTGATTTCATGCAGTGTATACAAATTGAAGCAAATTTCAAAATGAATTGAACTAAATTACTAAAATTGAGCCTTTTGCAAGTGTCAGGATATCCTTTAAATCGAAGAGATATTTTCGCTTTCCCTTGTAAAAGACAAGGCAGGGTTGGATTATCCGTCTTGCTCTCCTGTTAACCGTCCTGGAAACACAACAAGACGGAACTGAATAATTTTGATCAGGATTGCCAATTTTTTTGAAAAACCGTGCTAATATTTATATTTCCTGTGTTGTACAAGCGTTTACAGTACCGTTGGTTTTACATCAGTCAGTGACATCCGGCAACAAATTGATGAGCATAGACTCAAATACTTAGTCTACAAGGGAAGGGTTTTTGGGTTCCGACACGACGTGATAACGTGAGGTGTTGCAAAGAGGTTGACTGTGATCATATTGAGTAGAAACGCCGAGATGGTCTGGGCTTTTTTCCGTTCCTGTTTACGCGCTGTTCTGATTCACTAATTTGGTTAATTTGCGTAAGTTCTGACCTTGTAACGCGCGCAGCGGTATCTGTGAACGCGTAGGAATCACACAATTTGTCAACACGTTGAGTTCCAAAATCTCAACAGGGTTTACGAGCAAGCTTGTTAAGGAAATCTGACGATGATGTCATTTAATCGAGTTTCTGGAAGATTGTCAATCAACAGACAAGTTTCTATACTGAATCATTTATTGATTTCTGGTAGCATTGTATATGCTAAGTTTTTTCGTAGCAGGTCAAGTTTTGTAGATAATAAAAGGCGGTGTCTGTGGAGATTAATGATGTCAGAGGGCTAAATGAATATTCAAAATACCCGTAGACATTGTTCCTTCACCGTAAAGGGAGATAACGTGACAAGCAAGTCCGAATAATGTATAATTATGCCCAGCATTGCAATAAACAAGAACAATTTTCTAAAGGCAATTTATATCAACAATGATAGTTGGTTTCCACGCATATTATTTTTCTTTTTTATAACAAGTGAGAAAAATGCTTTGATTATATGCGAAAGCTCATTTCCTCCAGATGGAGTGGCTGTTATTGGACCAAGGCGAAGAGCAATTAAATCAGATGAAGTATTTGGAACAGAAAGCCTGAATTATCGATGCTGCTTGAATCGAATCGCTCGATCGATATGTGCACTGGCGCATGCAGACTACAGAATTAGCCCAAATACTGCAGCATTTTTAAATAATTGAATTCAAATTACCAGAATAACGCTGATAAATTTCGATTTAAAATTTATGTCAGAGCTTTAGTTTGAAATTTAACATATTTATAAAATTTCGCCTAATTTCATGAAGAATAACAGGAGATATATAATGGTTTTAATACTGCAGAATGGATTTCTATTTTGCAATTCTTCTGAGCAGAATAATACGATAGTTCCTTGTTAACCAATCAATCCAGTTTGCGGTCAGTTTTCCCGCCTTCGTCACGATGTGATTCAGTTTTGCGGTCAGTTTTCCCGCCTTTATTACAATAATGTTCTGCATATTAAAACGATATTATCCACACAAAATTAAAATGTTCCTGTTCCTCAACGGATATCAAAGATGTCTTTTCAACGCTGCTGTGGCAGAAGGCCAAAACTTACGCGAAATTTTAAAAAACAGGAAATTTGTTTTGCTTCTCGCAATTCGGTCAAAGTTCAATCTCTCAAGTGATGACGAGGCTAATAAACAGTTGAAATCTAATAATGCCTGCTTACATCTTATGAGAATATGCCATAATCAGATTTCTCCTATAAGAGGCTAATATCCTACTTAGTGTATATGCTTTTGCCCATAAAAAGCGTTTGCATATGATGTTCAACATGTGAGGCCTAGTCAGTGTATTGGCATGATCGACAACTTCAAAGGAGTTAATGCGAATGGATTATGGTTGGAACACTTGTCGATTTCAACTCTTTAAGTGGATTGGGCATTATTAGCAAGCGATTAACTCGGTTTAGTTTCCGCGTTTTTTTAGAGAAAATCTTTAATAAAAATTCGTTCGTTGTTTACCATTATTTCGTCCGTTACATCAGCACATTTTTTAGAAGCAATATTACGTCGACATTGTTCAACAGTAAAAAGAGTTGTCAAAGACCTATTCTTTACTCAAAGAACTCTTTTTTAAAGCATAGTTTAAGATCATTGTTACACTTCACAGACTGACTAGTAAAAAGTTGTTTTGTTCTGAGGTCACGAAGCATAATGACAAACCTTTGTGGCCAGCCTTGACCTGTTTGAATCTCTCTAAATTATCAAATCAAAAGGGAAGTTACTTAGAAACCGTATGAAAACGATTTTAACTGTTTGTTTCACTGGTAAATGTGAACGTTGTTGTCGTATAATCACTCCCCCAGTTCACAAAAGTATGTTCAGTTTGAACGTACATGCTGAGGCGATAGAGTTTTGATGGCACAATATACGATGAGTTTCTTTCACCTTTGAGATAGTCGTGGACTCGACCACGCTCATGTCTTATGACACTCGTGTGAAACGGTAATCACGGTCCTTACCAAACGAAAGTCGTGGGATCTCTAAGGTAGATCTCTCGTTGTTTCCTTCCACAAAGAAACCTTCCTGTTTCGATGCACCCCCTCATCTTTTCTCACGAGAACAGAATTTGTATCCTGTGTTCTACCAGGGCCATGCAGGTGTTCAAAATCCGGTCAAATCTTCAACATAAATCAATTTCTGCAATCACTTGTTGTAAAATTGAATATTTTGCCATAAATATTTTTTGGGTCACTATAAGTCTTTGTCTAATTTTAAAACGAACACCGGTGCAGAAGCATTTTTTTCTCTGAAATCCCGTGGTTGAAAAAAAATCTGTGATCGAATAAACACTTCCCATATTTCGAGCCATCTCATCGATAGTTATAATATCAATACTCACGAGCACAGATTCAGCAAAGCTAAACAATTATACATCATAGATTATGATATGAATTCCTAGAAATCTGTAAAATTCTTGTAATTCAGCCATTGGGCTGTCAGATAACGAAAAATATCTATCTGTCCACCTATAATACATCTATACATTGTTAACGTAATTTTGACTGATTTGTTTTTTCCAATGTAGCTTCACATCCTCCGAGTTTTACGGACGTCAAAATTAAACAAACGTATGTGTCCTGGCCTATCAACACTCCGCTCAGTTTAAAATGCAAAGCAAACGGTGACGGACCACTCACCGTGAACTGGTATAAAAATGGCCGGCGTATTGAAACCACAGCAAACGTGTTTCAAGATCACAAGTGGAGTTTGAAATTTCGTAAACCGAAACTTTCCGATAATGGCGTCTACACATGCATCGTCTCAAATGATTTTGGTTGGATCAAACGCAATTACAGCCTCGAAATTTTAGGTAATGAAAACTGTATTTGAAAACCTTTAGTATTGTTGGAGATGTAGGCTTGTGTGAATCGCTCTATATGAATACAGCACAAATACAGAGTTGAATCACTTGCACAAAATTTAAATAATCGTTAGGAATTCGTCTCCATCACATCGTTGCTTGTAGAATAGTTGAAAGAAGATAGATTTTTCAACACTATATTCATCTTCGTTGCTTAGAGGGGGTTCAACAATCCATACCAGTTCTAGTTCCTGGCTATCCAAAACCAGTCACAGCTAGGGTCGGTGACAGCGTAGAGCTGGAATGCCTCGAACAGCCCAATCCAAAAATGACCCACTACGAATGGCTGAAGACGGACACTTTGGATGACATTACCGGACTTCACGAGAAGGGCCACGGGAAGTTGAGCCCCATGAAATACAAGCCTTTCACAGTTGAGGGAGAAAAAGGAAGGTTCCACGGCGTAAAACTGCAATTGAAACATATCACCAAAGAAGACGAAGGTTTTTACACATGCTTTTTGTCCAATGGCGATGGTATGACGCATGGATCGACGTTTCTCAATGTCACGCCTGTTTCAAGAACAGGTAATGTTAAGAATAGATGTGAATTAACCCCACATGGATTTTATCTACATCCAATCTATATTTCAGCCCCTCATCCTTATTTTATCTCCTTTCTCCAATTTATCCCCTAAACCCACATTTCATCCCCTCAATCCACATTTACCCTCATATCATCTACCCATTCACGTTTATGCTCCGAGTGTGCATTTACCCCTACATCCACATTTTGACCTCTGTCCTAATCAACATTCTACCCCTATCCACATTTATCCCTTCATCCACTTTTTATCCTATGCATCCACATTTATCCTCCCAATCGCATTTTCCCCTAGAAGTAGTGCCAATCGTCATCTTATTACACATTCTATACATATGTACCCTTTCAGATCCTCCTGAATTCCTCGTTCCCAAACACAAACGGAAGCATTTCATTGCGAGCGTGGAAAATGAAGACGTCACATTCTCGTGTCTCGTCCGTGGTGGGGCGCCACTCAAGTATCAATGGCTGTACAACGGAAAACCCTTAGAATCAACCGAGAAACACGAAATACGTGAATCGGAATTGCTCGTCAGACACGTTCTACGTGACGACGATGGTGTTTATACGTGCAAAATAAAAAACGACTTTGGTCGCGTCAAGCATAATTTCAAGCTGAAAGTTCTCGGTAAGCTTATAAATGAACCTTTGTGTGTATGAACCCAAGTCGTAGTTCTGATTCTGACAGCTTCTAAACCAGCTTATCAAATCATTCATCAATTGACTCTATCAGTAGCGCGTTTATAGTTTATTCTAAGATATATGTTTTCTATTTTCTTCGCAGCACGGCAGCCATTGTTCCCGAGCCATCCCGTTCTTCTTCCTGGCTACCCTAAAGACAACACAGCAATGGTCGGCGATTCCGTCGCTTTGTTTTGTGCTGATACAAGCGACGCGCTCGTCGACTACAGGTGGTTAAAATGGGACAAATCCGTGAAGAGTTTTACAAAAAAGGAGCTTCTCAACACCTCGTTGTTTACCGTCGTCCATCCAAAATATCACGGACATCCTCCGCCCAACAAGAGAGGGGTTTATTTGACGTTGAAAAATTTGACAATGGAAGACGAAGGGTTGTATACATGCCTGGTTACAAGCAGTTTCATGGGCTACGCGTACAGAAGTGCCTTTCTGAAAGTACAACCTGCTGTCGAAAGTAAGTTCTTAACGTTTGAACGTAGAATGTAGATTTCTATGTCATGTGATGCGTGCGGAAAATCTGAGAATATTATCAGGATTCTTTCATATTTTCAATATTAAAAACATTTCGCAAAACTTAAATTATGTCTAAAAAATATGTTTACCATAAAAACTAGATTTAAAGAAGGAGATTTTTCGCGGGATTCCGAAGAGAAAGTGCATTTAAAAACACGAAGTTACTGTTGTATTCATTTCAGTAATAGTTTATAAATGTCAAATTTATAACAGCGATATAGCTTGCGTTAATATTTCGACAAAACCTCAGTCGCTTTGTGTTTTGCAACTATGAAATACTCTTTTAAACTTCGTGTATAACAAAATGAAAATAACAAAGCTAAAATAAAGTGGTTTTGTTTAGCCCGACGAAAGGATTTGATGTTTTGAACTTTTTCCCGCCAAAATAAACAACACATAAATTTAACCGAACCTTTTCCCGCTGAAATTAGCAACACGATCCAACGATGATATTTGTTGAAATTTTAGAATTTTTCGACCAGCCAATTTCCGTCGCTTTGTCGGAAGAAGCACAGAGCACCTCGGAAACTATGTCGACAATGAAAGAGGCAGCCACAACACTGTCAACGGCAACTAAAACTCGCCGCTGTTTCAACGATGTTGAAGAGTTCGACGTCACAACTCGTTGTCAAACAACAGGCGTTTGTGCTGCCCTGTCAAGCAAGCAAACAGGAAAAGAAAAACTGTTTTGCGATCACAAAGGGCTGTGTTCTGAGCACAATATTACCACGGGCGAATGTAAAGAGGTACGTTTATAGAATATCGTCAAGAGTTCAATTAATCATCTTTCATTATGCATCGTATTTAATTCGATAAACCAAATTGTAAACAAGTTTTGAATTGAAATCAAAATCGGTGTGATTTTGTCAATGTCAAATTTTATCAAAGCTTGATGCCGCTCACAAATCTTACTCTCAAATCTCTCAAGTTTTACATCATAGCCATAGTCAAATTCTAACTATATTGAATTTAGTCAGCTCTGTATAAAAACAATAGACCTTATGCATAATGACGTAACAAGCTCTGACACCTGCAGACAATTCTGGTCTTATTAGTCACGGCGGGAAATTTTGATGTTTGAATTTTTTGCCGTGACTACTAAAACCATAATTCCCTGCAGGCGTCACGGCTTGATACGTCATTATGCATAAGGTCCATTGCAGCAGAAGTATTTCGTATTAATTACGCGCATGAAATTCTTAAATCTAGGAAAAATTGATTTAGCAGTAGAACTTTTGACAACTATAGTTTTCTGTTGTTGCAGATAAGATTTGTCGGAGTTCTGTGTTGCTGTGACGAGGATCTTTGCAATCGACGACAAATCAAACTGTTCCAGAAAACAAAAAAATCGCTCGAAAACTCTTCGGTAAAGTCGCGACTAACCCCGGTCATTCTTTTTTCAACCATCGTGCTTATAATCTCCGTTATGCTGGGGTTGCTAGGCTACCGCTTGCGTCAGCGGAAGGCCGCTCTCAAGGAGAGCATTGTCCACACCACGAAGCCAAGTTCACGAAAAATTACTAAAAGAAAGGTCATGGAAACAAGATGGCTCAAGGAGGATGTGTGATTCGTTGTAACGACCGAGCAGTTTGTAAATAAGGATAGACTAACGACTATTCATTTAAATTCACGGTAGTATATTATGACAGAGCCGACGTCGAGATGGTTTTAATTATTGACTATATGCATTTTAAACGTCTTTGTCTGAATGTTTACGCTTTTATAATGCGAATGTTTTTGGCAACGATGAACACCTCATCTGAGGCAATGAATTAAACCTTGCTCGTATTCAGTAACAAAGAACTTTTATCAACTATGGGCTGGTTCAAATTTTGATGAAAGTCTTAAATTTGTGATAATATCGAATTAAATCGAGCTGGCCAAAGGGATAGAGTTTATCCATCCATCTGCGTTTTAAAATATATTATATATATAAACATGACGAATATTTTTCATTGTTTATATTTATCGAGAGATTCCTTTTAGCGGGTTTCCCCATAATGGTGTGTCAATAAACACAAGAGCCTATCTCATGTACTCAAGAATCGACAATTACTACTGCATCGTTGATGACACTTTAGTTATCTTGTTTTTTAGCCGGGCATGAGAGCAGTGTCGCTCTATTTGGTTTAAGTTTGATCTGGTTTAAGCCTATGAATTGTGTTTTCTTCATATCCGAAATAGATCAGTCTGAATAGAGTTTTTAACTGAGCAAGCGTGTAAAGACAAGCGGTCATTAGTTTAAAACAAGAGTTTTGAATTAAAACAACGCGTTCAAACGTACGGCGGGAAATATATGGCTTGTGTATTGATACATAATATATACACAAAGTCTAAAAACATATGCGGAAGACATGTTTAATTGAACTGTGGTTAGCTCGTTATTAGTGGAATATGTAAGAAGCATTATTAAAAATTTTATCAAGGAATTGATTTCTTTGTATTAATTCCAATACTTTCAAAGGCATAGTCGCCCCTCCGTTTTGCTTTTGCAGCGGTTTCTTTGATGCAGTAAACCGCTGACCATTACCGGAACGCGGTCGAAAGCCTGTTTTATTGATGGCAATTGAATGATAAAGAACTATATGGCAATGCAATTGAAAACTATTTTTTAATGGGTATGATGGCGAAAATTAAAAGGAATGACATAAAATAAAAGCAAAATAGCACACTTTACCGATTTAACGAGCTATTTTGACCCAAATACATTTACAATACATATAATCATTAATCGTTTTATACCGACTGATATTGAATCACGTATATTCGTGGCTTGAAATCATCTAAAATTTCGTGAACTTTTTGATAAGGCCTTTCGGTCTGACACGATTTGTTTAGCATGCAAGTATGGATGCTTTGCGTTCTGAACAGCGTTCAAAAGGAAACCTAAGATATATATTGCAATCGTATTTTTTGATATTTCGGTCGTGTTGTCAATTCAAGTGCTTTAAAAACATGGACTTATTTGAATATTCAAATGAGATGCTAGTATTATTACGTCTATCAATACGAGCGTCGACTGACTTGGCAGGCGTTTAGCATCGGGGAAGAAACACACAATATATCAACACTTTCCGACTTATTTGGCGGCTCGTGTCTTGCGAGGCCCAGCGATCTGCTGTTGACAAAAACCTGGATAGCTTAGAGGGCTTTTAAGCTCAATAGAAACGAACGTTATCGTGTTGTTATGTCGAAAGACGACGAGGAGACATACACGTATTTATTTAAAGTTGTCCTGATAGGCGACAGCGGAGTTGGTAAGTTTGAATGATTTCTGTCGTATATACGGTGACTGAGAACTGTTTTATAACTTCTGCACTGAACTATTGCCATATTTACTTAGACTTTCGCGAAATACAACATAAAATTTCGTGAAATTTACGATATAAAGTCCTTATATGGGAGTATATGTGTATAAAGCTATACTCAATGAACGCTATGAAGTTGATTTTGACTATTATAACTGTAAACTTTTAATTTTCCCAAAAACTATTGATTATATTCGACGTTATACACTTGAAGAAGATGTTTGGGTCTGTCGGAAGCGAAAATTTGCCCTAATGCTTTGTGTCGTAGATTGATATTAATCCTATGGATAAATATTTATACAGAGATGGACTATTGGGTTTATATATTACATATATATTATTGACTCTGTGAATAAAGCCATATCCCATATCTTTGTTCGCACTGTTTATGCACCGTTAAGTATTTCTCGGCAAATCCAAACGGTTACGATCAATTTCTCAGTTATATAGTGGCTTCAAACTCACCGTATAAGTAAATTATAACTTTATTTTATCGCTTTGACCGTGGGGGACCATATTCAGATATGGAAAGTTTATTACCAATGCCATACCATGCCGCCCCAGCCAATTCAGTTTCGTATATATCTGATTAATATATATATAATATTATCATCCACATTGGCAAGTCGTTGTTAGCTCATCAAGATATCTCGTAATGATACATCAGCTGTTAGAGAGAACGTATAGTATTCACTAAATTATTAGCAGAATTCGAGTTGATAATCGCTTTTTAATATGAGCTAAATGAATGAACAGATATGCTTTATAGTTACTGTACAAGATATTGATTAATAGCGACGAGTTCTTGACGACAAAAACTTTTACAAACTTTCTTACACGATTCGTATGCTTGCGGTTTGAACCACCTAAAATGGATAAAACACTCGTAATATCTTTCCCTTTTATCGACGGCAGTTAATATTACACGGTTCCTTTGATAAGCAGTCGTATAATCTGCGGTTTGTGCCAAATTTTACAGTTCATTTTACAAAATTTTGCCTCAGCAAAGCGCTGATCGAGTTGGTTTCTTTTTTCTTGTTCATTTTGTAAAACATATACTTTCCTATTTTTGACATAAATCCGGCGTGCGAAAGTCGCCTTTCAAAATACATCAAGGATAAAAAAAACTCGTTGCTAAGGCCAGTTTCCGTACCAAGTGTTAACTGTATCTTCCTGTATTCCACAGGCAAGTCCCAGCTTTTGACAAGGTACACAAAGAATGATTTTCAACTGAGCTCAAAACCAACCATTGGCGTGGAACTCGCTCATGAAGATATAGAAATTGATGGAAGAATCATTCGTGCTCAGATCTGGGACACAGCAGGTACGACTGATGTAACACTGGAGTGCTCATCTCATCAAAGTCGTTTTAGCAACTGTCAAAATATACAAAAGAGATCGCCAGATCGTCGACTACTTCTCGAGATGTCTTGATAGCTTCTTCACTTAATCCATATAGTAGAAGCTTCGAGAAATATATAACATATTTCACGAAACATATTTCGAGAAACAGAGAAATATATAACATATTTCACGCTTTAGAAAGTTGCTAAAACTACTCTGAAACAATATTAGCACATTTAGGAGTTCCAAGGTTATCTTAAACAAATTTTAAAATGCATCTCCAATGTGCATCTCCGATGTCCTATAAAAAAGTACCCTCATTGAAATCATCTGACCTTTTGTTTTGAACGTGCGCTCTGACACCTCTTGGAAGTTAATGAGTACATGCATGTCGGAATAAATATAACTTCAGTCCTGATCGTTCAAGTAAGATATGATGAACCGCATTTTTTGAAAGCCAGTGAACACGGCGAAAATAAAGTTAAACAAACAAACAGTTTTTTGATCATTTTGAATACATCGAGACGCCATGGATTAAAGTTTCTTAGTTTGCAAAATCAGTCGTAAACCGGCCTAAATCTTCAAGAGAAATAAGGTATTTTAATAACTATGTCCTTCATGACAAAATTTATCAATTTAGGTATTTGAGGGTTATCTAGCTTTTAAGCTTATACGCTGCATTGCTGAATATATTGTCGAGTTATTCGTTCAGGAATTCTATTCCTTCAGCTAACGCAACACGTCTTGCTCATCCACTTGACTTTAAGTGGAGAAAAAAAGTAACTTTAAATGTCGTTTCAACTATAAATAAAGCGTCGGTAACTATGCCTGCATGTAATATTGCACACAATGTAACAGAATAACAAAGAACCTGCCAATCATAAATGCGGCTGAGTCAAGCTCCGCGTGTGTTGTGAAAATATTCGTGATTGGTTGTGAGCATTTAGGAACATTACGGTATATACCGTACAGTAGTAGGTAAACGGTGTTAAGAGATTTGCTTGAAGCATGTATGCAAGGTCTTGTTTCGAGGCAGTCAAGGACTATGCATTATGACATCAGATAAGTTTCTAGCCTAAATTCAAATTTACTGAACATGTTTCTCATAAAAAGCCGTACCACATATGCATTGATGTTCGCTTTAAAAGAATTCTTGGTGAGTTTCAAATATTGAACGTCTAAATCTAATTGTTTATCCGCATTTTCTCACTGAATGAAATAGTTAACATATCCTGTCAATAAACAATATTTGTTCCGAATCATCGACCTGTGTGTGTACACTGTAAAAACATTGACCTACTTAAAGTCTCAAATTTTCATATAGTTGCATGCAGTTCGATGTTATTAATATAGGAAAATTACATGCATACAGCACACGATCCTTAAGGAAAGTTTCAACTCTTTTCTTCAGGCCAAGAACGATATCGGGCGATCACAAGTGCGTATTATCGCGGGGCACTTGGCGCCATTATAGTGTACGACATTACAAACACGAAGAGTTACGAGAATGTCGAATTATGGGTCGACGAGTTACGACAGCATACGGACGATAAAATCGTTTTAATGCTTGTTGGCAATAAGGTCGATTTGCGCCATTTGCGCGCGGTCGAAAAGGAGACTGCGTCGAGTTATGCCGTTGAAAACAAAATGCACTTCGTAGAAACGTCGGCTCTGAACGCGATGAATGTCGACGTTGCTTTTGAGAGCACTTTGCGCAAAATCTACGAAATTGTTCGCGAACAGGAGAGCGATCGGAACGAGGCCGAGAATGAACAGGCATCGATGCTGAATAAAAAAATGAACGGAGAGAGTTCGGTTCGCTTAAAGGAGGATGCCAACACAGATAAAGTTCGGCCATCTTGTTGTTCGTAATCACGGGGTATCGTTCGCTCTTTGGTGAGAAGTTGTATCATTAAAGTAAAGTTAAAACTGATTTCGACGCTATTTTGCTTCGCAAAAACGGGCAAAGATGAACGAATGTTTTGAAACTATATGTGCAGTTTACATCTGGGATAACGGCATCGCTGGTTTACGTGTCTGCACGAAAGCCTGTATGCTCGGAAGTTGACGGAGAACGACGTTGTCCGGCGCACTGGTGTCGCTGTCCAGGTTCAATATGTGGAACATAAATGTCAGAAACTAATATAGGATGAATTTCCTCTGGCCATGGATATGTGAATTCTTGTATTGTAAAGTCTTATCTCATTAAAAAAATGTTTATGAAATGTTGTAGTTAAGTTGCAGTTATACCGGATATTGTTTTTTTTTCAATCGCTTTAAAATCTCCCGTTGTTTGCTATAGCTTTGACTAAATCTTAGTATTCCTAAATCGAGGATCCCCTTTAATAATTGGTGGTTCAACAGATCAAATTTTATCGCTTTTCAAGCATTTTTAGAACGGTCGTCAAAATCACTATCCGGTGGATAGCGCTTTCCAGCTATCGTACAACCGGCCCCAGATAACTTAAACGGTGTTATCAGGTCAGAATATAGAGCAATTTGATTCATTTTACTTCACTTGACTCAATTTAATGCATAGTTTAAATGAATCTATTACACCGGTGCATTCAATTTGTTTTCAAACTATTCACTATTCTATTCAGCATGAATTACTTTATCAACCTTTAACATAAAGGAACGCGGAGAAATTTCCAGCGGAAACACAATAATCGAAATTAGTTCATGGATTGGGCCACTTTGAGGTTTAAATAATCTTCAATAAAGTACAAGTCCGGAAATAAATCAACGACAGCAATTTCTACAGCTTCGACAAACGTGACATGACGTAAGAATTCTACGCGGTCGCTGGTGATTTTTGAACCGAGACATGTCTGTAAGGAATGTGGAAAGAAGTGTTGTTAGTTCTGCGCAGACTCGGCCTACCTTCGGTTAATCTTCGCAGGGTATTCGAAAGCGCGAATTTTTGAATTCAGCTAATTGGTTGAAAGTGTAAAGTCAATTTTTTTGCTATATTCACTACGAGTTGAGTTAAATTAGTTACGATTCATGCCGTGAGGACTAGCATTTTTCCACAGACAACAATATTGTTGATAGCTACATACCAGATAAAGTTTGACATGTTCTGTCAGTTGATGTGAATTGAAGTCCAGAGGTTTTATTTTCCCCTTCATCTAAAAATGGAAAAATGAACTGGTAACGAGTCGCTCTACTTAATAAAGAGTTGTGAAAACGTGAAATAACTTGTTTTCAGCCATGGTCGTATGTAGACGCTATTATAAAGTGAATATCATAGAGCTATATTGTCTGAGAGTATTGTCAAGATATAAACTATTAATTGCTGACTACTTTTAGCCAAATTCCGAATGCATTCATCTGCCTTGAAATGTGAAATTCCTTCTACTGTTATTCAAGGTTTAGTTCATATATTATGAGACATCAATCTCACCAAACGATACAACGGCCATATTGTTTCATGCACAGCATTTGCCAACTTTTTTAATCCCTTTCGTAAATTTGTGTTCTTTTCACTACCAAAAGAGAGCTTCAAAGCCGCGCGAGATATGGGCCAAAGCGTATTTTTTATTTTATCCAAGTTTTCATGTATCTAGAAAAAGTAAATAAAATAAGAGAAAATTGTAAAAATAAGGATTTTCAAATGAAGTGCGATCATTATAATCAAGTAATAAAGCAATCATTTAAAAGTTCAAGCTCTTCAGCAATACAAATAGCGGTTGTATAAGATAACTTTAGATGAAAGGACAATTTGCCCTTTCTATACAAAATGCCTCAAGGATTATGTAGTGGGATTCAGTGAATCCTAATCAAAGTCGCATTGAACCTACCGTGTGCTTGCTCGAATCATAAAATCTGTAAGTATATTCATTGTACAACAAATAGGTTGGGATGGAACACTGGAATAAACAGAATTAAAGAGTTTTATTAATGAAATCACATTAAATCTACGCCAGGGCTGATTAGCTGAAAATTATTTGAGATGATTTTATCACAACACCTTAAGTTCCGTCCTGAGGCTGACAGGATGATTGAACATATTGCTAGTCAGAATTGTACTTGATCCGTTAAACAAACTTAATAACTTACCATCGCATGATTACGATCGGGAAGACCGTATCGGTTCCTTCTAACCCCAAACTAAAAATATGCAAATGTCATCAATCGATTGATTATAATCATAGTTAAAACACTGTCAATTTAACTCAGCCTTTTAATTTGTCAAGTGTAAGCGTCTAACTTTCGTTGTGATCAGAGCACTGTTGATAGATATATTTCAACACGACTGGTAAATATTCTGATAATTTGTGATAAAAAAGGTTCGTGGATATACCTCAGGTTCATTCTGTCCGGAGCTTAAATTCCATCAGAAATAGTATTGTAAAACAATTTTACTTGCTGCATAAACGTACCATTGTTTCGTAAGTTAGATGGGAGGTTCGCTTCAGTCGAAGTATACTGTGATATAGGTTGGTGAGATCTTGTTTAAACGATGATGGTGATGGTTTCGCAAACCCACCAATGGCAGAACAGATTGTCACGAGGAAAATTACTCTAATAATGTGCCTTGGAAGTTTCATGATAGTTCGAATGAAGACGAAAGGAAACTATGAAAAAAATCCAATGAAAAATTTGGAAAAATTGAATTTTTTTATTCTTGATGCTCATAATACAGTGCGCTTGAAAAACCCCAATTATTGTTTTATGCGATTATTTTTTCAACTACAAACTAAACGCCAAGTGAGACTGAATTTCACACCGATCAAGAACCTCGCACTCTAAATAAGATAATTCCACTCGAAATTAAGACCCTTTAAACCTCTAGAATTTACGTGCATCGATCGCGAGTGAAGTGCAAACAATCTCAATTGATATACATTCTAAGTTTGTTGATGTTGGTACGCTCAGGAACATGTAGATTTTGTTTGAAATTAGGTCTTGTAGTTTGTGGACGTTTTCTAGTTAATTTATTTTGTCAAGGAAGTTCTCAGGACCGTCTATAGGCGTGCATGTGATTTTAAGGCGATTTATTTGCTATGATTCATAATCTTTGAAGTAACAATTTAAAACTGTCACGTATTAATTCTAAGTAAAGTTCGCCGATTCTAAGACTTCTTTATATTTACTAAGAAAAACAAATTCAACTAATCGATATTTATCTAAAAATCCATCTGCATAGTTTACAATATTTCTGATTTCAGTGCGACTACAATACTACAATAATTATTTAATATCTATAGTTATTATCGCGAAGACATTTCACTTAGAAAACGTATTATTAGAATTACCTTTACTGAATTTGAACTTTGGCTTATGCGATGTGAGAATAACAAATTTTCGATGTAGTTTCTCGGCTGTGATATGTTTGACGACCATGATCGACTTGGGTCTTTTATACTTCCAGTGAGACGAGGTCATTTCATCCGTGAAGCGAAATTTGGAATAAAAATAGAACATTTAGGTTTTATGATCTTGATTTCCTACGTATTGGCCGTAAGTGAAAACCGATCAATCTATGACACAACGAAGAACTGCGCCCGGCCTGTGATTGTCAGGTGTTCGGTTCGACCAGGCGTGGCGACTCCCCCACCGCGTAAAGTTAAAAAGGAAACTATTTTGAGTGCAATTATTTAACTTCCTGCAAGCAAAGTGAATATGTAATGTTTGAAACAAAGCTCGAGAACAATGTTATAAAGGTCATGTTATACAAATAAAACGCCCTGGTTGGAATAACAAAGAAATGAAACAAGACAAAGGTTTGACTTACTGCATTTTGATGATAAATTTGAGCGATGGGGCACGTGAAGTTTTGCAAAAAGAGCAGCGTAAAAAGAGGATATTGCAAATGTTTCAAAAACAGTAACGTTTTCAATTCAGGTTTCGAAATACATTTCTAGCTATTTCTGTTTTGCTTCGGATGAATTTGGCGCCGAAATACCCCATTATTAGAACAGCAGTTTGCTTGAAGGACATTGATGAAAATAACAATTGTAGTATTATCCGGAATCTTAATTTATGGAAAGAAAATGTGGAATTCTTCGGTCCGGAAAGGTATAATTTATAGAAAGAAAATGATGGCAATAGTTATTTTCACTGTTCGTTATTATCAAACCGCAGATCAGTCTTAAGGTAGCTAACGTTTGCTTTTATCAAGATCAACTTTCAATTCAATTGAAAAATTAATCTGTTCCTGGTAATTCCATTGTGGCGTTTAATGTTTCACAACACGCTGGCTTTGTGTTGTATCTCTTGTCGATTTAAAGGCTGAGATTTTGTTTTGAATACGAGGTTTAATAGATTATGATAAGGTATCATAACTGTTACGAGAGCCGTTAAAATTTTGAATGAAATATAGGCAATGGAGACCGTAAACAAAACATTTTTAGAATTTAATTGTTAAAAGTTTTAACTTTTGACGTCAAATTACACTAAATAAGTCCAGAAGAACACATAAAATCTTTGAAGTATTGCCCGCAAGACTTCTCCACCTAAAGTCCTTTTTTGACCAGTTTTACCTGCTAAAAATCTACGACTTTCCAAGGTCAAAATGGCGGATATATGAGTCATATAATATAAAACCCACGAACGGGTTGAAATGTAATCCGGCCTATATATGATTGGCTTTGTCGACACATTACATTTATTCGATGATCCACTTGACAACTTATATCTGTTCGACTATAACTGATTAAACATGTCTTGGTGTTTATTATTTATGGTGTTTACTATATTCGTATAGCTAGATGACATATGCATGCATCAATTTAGATAAATTGGCTTAGCGTCGTTTAGTCATATATTTAAACAAACGGTTATTCCTAGAATAATACGTCGCCTCCCATAATTTTCGTTTTCAGAAAGAGCCGCGCTTGTAGCACTGTTAATGTACAAGTAACAATCGATTGTTGCTATTAATTGCATGCGCGGGAATTTACTTCAGGATGTAATTTTACTAGGAAGTTGGAAGGAAAGAATATCTAGTCGGAACTAAAGGAGTGATATACGCGCTTCTTGAGAATTATACGGTTCAGTGAATGGTAATGCTTGAGCAGTTAGTTCCTGGTCCCAATTCCTAATAAAAGTTTTCCTGGAGCCCATTTGATGATTTATGAGATAACTCATTTAAACCAATCAGTTATAACAGATATTCGATAGCATATATAGCGATTCGCCTTGGCTTAAAGACACCTTGATATGCGTATCGGATAAGATTACACTAATGAAAATAAAGTATTAA